AATGCCCCTGATCCAGACCCCAGCATCAATACTCGAGGCAAGGGAGCAGCCAGCCAGGGCTGGGCTGTGTGTGCCACTCTTGTGGCAGTACCACAGTGGTGCCTGTGAACTCAAGCCATTAGAACTTGTCCATGGATGCCCATTCTAGGATTTACACACAGATTCCAAATGACCAGAGACTGTTTGTCCCAGAGCATTTCCCCAGTGCACAGCAGGCAGGGATAGATGAGGATAGAGGGGGGTAGCAAAAGGACCCGGTGTGCAAGATTGAAATGGTAAAATGGATTTAAGTCAAACCAGAAGCAATTTTATATGTATTAAACATGTTTTTAAAGTTTTACACTGTCACTTGTACATGCTTGGCTGGATTAAGCTTCGTTGTGATTGTGACAAAATGTTTGATCTCTGTCTGTCACATTGGTTTAGTTGTAATAAATGTCCATTTTTACACCATTGCTGTGTTTATATGTAATTAGTGTCTGTATTCACAGAGGAAAGAAGAGGCCACTCGGTGCTGGCTTAAGAAAATGGGAAATTTTATTACAGTGCTTAACCTGTTCTTGAGCACTTCATTAAAAAATGTTGAGGATACTGTGTCCGAGTTTAGTTATTTTCAACCATTTAAATTGTAGAGAAAGCAATAAATTAGCAAGTTTTTGGAAAGCCTGCCACATTAAACATGAGATTTATTTAAGTGGACGTTAAATTGATGGGGTAATACCACTTCATTTGAAGATTAAACGACATGTTGAGAGAGATTTCTGGATAATACAGACTGAATATTCAGTTCTTTTCATAGAATTCTGAGCAAGTCAATGCAAGGTTTATAATCCTAGTCTCAACCAAAAATATATCAGATTAATCTGTTCTCCACCTTTCTGAAAGAACTGAACTGCTTGATGTTATCAGCAAAAGCATGAGGAAAAATTAACATTTGGTTATTTCTGAAATTAATTTGAAATTAAATTCTGGATTTTTAATTTCTTGTTTTGTGGAGAAGGGTTGGGGGGAGCTAAAGAATTATTGGAATTTCTGGATTTTCAGGCAAGTTGATTGTTGTCTTGAGTGTCTTCAACTTCACTGACTAAAGTCTTTAACTCGAAGAGGCCTTCATAAACATTGGCTGTTCCCTTTGGGGTAAGGTCACCTGGTGGCTGCCTCTGTCAAGTTCCCATGTACCATGGGTTAGGCTTGTCCAGCTTGCTTTGCAGTCTGTCCCATGGCTCAACAAAGTGTTATCTGTCTGTGTCACATCAGTTTTGGTTTTCAGCCACAGATACTCAATTCACCTGATATATCAGTGCTGGGCAGGAGTGCATGTGGAATAATTGGGGTTTATTTTAAGCTTACAGTGATAGCAAAGAGCTGCGCTCTTTGGATGATGTGAGAAAGTAAATTAAGGTTTTAGGTTATTAACTATCATAAACTTCCATCTTTCATGTTTTGTAAGAAGTGCTGATCCAGGACAGGAAGCAGTAGCATTTTTAGCAGGCTCTTGCATGTCTTTAGAAAAAAAACAAGTTATTTAGCATACAGGAATGTCACTGGCAAACCAGAGGGCAGTTTCCAATGCACTGAACGTGCTAATGCAAAACTGGATGCAAAACATGCTGCCATCACAGGGCACAAAAGTGGGAGAGGAGTCACTTGGGGGCATTTTGGACAATGTGCCCTGTACACAAGGGCTGGGGCCAGAGAGGGAAGGCCTTGTTAGGTGTCCATAGGAAACGCCTTGCACTGAACACAGAGACATGTGCCACCCCTCCTCAGCTCGACGGAGGTTTGCTACTCTGGACAGGCAGGGAGTGAAATCCCACAGAAGTGGCCACCAGCTACAGTTGGAGGAAAGGCAAGCCCAGTTTGCTGATGCCTTAATTCTGCTGTGCCTGTGCCTGCAGGGGTTCCCACTGCACTGCCACTGTTCCCCTTGTGCTGCTGAACAAGGCAGCACTGCTGCCTGACAGGGCTGCTCCTTCTCCACTGAAGGGCAGGAGCAGCACCTGCTCCCCATCCTGACTGAAGCAGCTCGTCTGGCACTGCCACCCTGAACCTCTGTGTAAATGCCAGAATTACTAGCACCTCTGTAATCCCTGCTGAATTCACAACTGAAAAAAGTTATTTGAAAGCTGCTGCTTTTAAGTAATCATTAAAGACAACAAAACTTGGCCCCTATTAATTCACTTTATAAGGTCCTTTTCTGTGGAATATGTGGAATAACAGGCAATGGGAATAGGCTGTTCCTTACAAATTTAAATCCCTTCTGTGTTCTTCTGGGGCTTTTTCCCTTTGGGAAAGAAAATAATTAAGTTTAACTTTAAAAAAAACCTTCTAGTCTTTTGTCTCTCCAGAAGAAAATAGCTCACTCAGACAATAATAAGGAAACGCAAAACCATGCATATTACACTACTTAAGGTTATGAAGCAGAGAAACAATACTGAAAAATACAAATTCTGAGATTAGAAAACTGGTGGAATCCCAGGTTTCATGCCAACAAATGCAAGCTGAATGTCAGATCTACAGCACTCAGATTCTGTGTAATAAACAGACAGTGTGTGAAGGGCAATCACAGCTACCAGTCCTACACTGCACAGATACAGCCAGCATGTCTGGGTCCAGACCTCAAGAAAAACAAGCTGAAGCTTCAGCCACTGTAGTAGCAGAAATAAAGTATTTTTAAATTTTTACATGCATTTCTGAGCAAGTCTGATTTTTTGGTTTTTTTTCTTCTTTTTTTTTTTTTTTTTTTTATGCTTTATCCCTGTCATTCTACAGGGAAAGTAAAAATTAAAATAGCTTATATATCACATTTTATGAAACTCTTCAGATTTGCTTCGCTTATGAAGGAAGTGTGGGACTTGATTTTAATTTTTTGGTTTTTTTTCTTTTTTTTTTTTTTTTTTTTTTTAATACAGCCACCCAGCTTCCCAAATCCTGTTAAAAAACGGTGGGGGCAAGGAGCCTAATCACCCATGGAATTTTCACATGGTTGGTAGTGGACACTTAGTTTCTAATCTCATGGAGGCCTGGTTTGCTTATTTCACCTGACTGGTCACAGGCTACCACCACCCACTCCACCACTTTTACTTAAGCTGGACAGCTGAGTGTGCTGGGATAATGCTCCGTGACATCTGGAGCGGGACACAGGGTGCAGAGTGTCTGCACAGGGACAAGGCAGCTGTCCCCCCAGAGCTGTGGGCAGCGCAGGGAATGGAGGATGGAACCGGCTTGCTGGTGGCCAGCTCCACCAGAGTTTGCTGCATGCAGTGCAAGCGACCCAGCGAGACAATTGAGCAGCTATAAAAAAACCAGAAACCTCAGGGAAAATTTGTTTCTAAGGCGTGGTGAGGAAAAGGTACATTATAAGAAACTGGCAGTAACAAATTTCTCAAATGGAATTAAAAACTTAGTGCTGTCTATCCTTTGAAATATGCCTTTTAAAAAAGTTATTATTTCAAAAGTTATGCTAATTAATTACAATTCTTACATCTGTAAATAACTAAAACATTTAATCAAATTAACTAAACTACAGCTCTGCCTACAGTAATGATAATATATAGTGAAAGTCGGGTTTGAACTGAACATCACTTTTGCTGTATTACTCCATATTGGACAAGTTACACATGAAGAAAGAAGGAAAAACATATAATCAGCATGCTAGGTGCACTATGTATTTAGAAAAGCAAAAATATATATATATATCATGTCCAGAAGCAATGTTCACTTGATCTTAACTAACCTGGGGGAAAAGGTTCTTGCTGTGAGGAATACTGGTGGTAAAGTTCAGAAACCCAGATTTTCTAAGGGAGTTGTAATGAATTCCTGTTTGGGAGCACTTCATGCCTGCTTTCTAACTCATGGGGTCTGATTGTTTCTCTGAAGGCAGGAGCCCAGTTCTTTGTAGAGGCTAAAGACAGGGAGGTATCTCTACAGACCATTAGGGCACCTTGCACCTTTGCTGCCACAAGCTCTCTCCAAGTGTCTGAAGACACTGAGGTGCCCAAGTTAAAACCTGAAGATAAGCCACGTGAAATACAGTACATCTAACAGCACAAATCTTTTAAATAAAAGTGAAAAAATATTGGTAAGGGTTATCTAACTGCAGGTACTTCGCTAATGTAGCTGTCACTTCAAGAAGGTTTTGTCCAAATAATTTTATGTACCCTACTCTTCACCTTGGCCGTAGGAAAGCAAGGCAGTAGGGTGCCTTAAGCTATTTGTAAAATAAACCCAAAAAGGTTCTAAGTCAAGTCCTCCTCTCCCAAAACCATGAAGTATTCTTTCATGTATAAACCCTTCAGTTTTTTCAGCTACTCTGCAGTCATCTTGACTGAGCCTTCACAATTGTCTTTGGTTCCCAGATGGACACTTTCCACCGCTCCAGCACAAGTTATGCAGGTTGTTTTCACCTACAAAGGGTGTGCAACCAAGAGGTATGCAAAGTATTTCTAGCCTCACTCGAGGATTACAGTTGCATGGTCTCTGTTCTGACTTGGGGACTAAGGTACGGAATAAAATGATTGTTTCTCTGTGTACTTGCTACTCGGTTTTAGTCCCGACAAGCAATCAGCTCAGCAGCTCAGTCAGGGCTGAGAAAAATCCAACACTCATGACCAAAAAGCTCCTACTGGGCAAGTACTGTACAATCAAACAGTGATGTCTTTGAGATCCCTTTTCTCCAACTCATAAAACGATTATATTTTCCTTGTCTAGAAAGCAATTTCCGATAAACAGATGAAAAATACAAATGGCAGTCATGTACACAGACCTGGATCTGCAGTGTGCTGGGGTGTGAATTTAGTGCACACTGGCTGTTCTGTACTAGCTCCTTACAGGAACAGTAAATACTTAACATTCACACAACAGGAATAAGCATATACCAAAGAGGCTTCACTTCTCTATTTGTACTCAGTGTGCATCCAGATGTTGCAGCAGTTCAGAGGGACAAAGTAGCTAGAGTACTTGACATTCACACCTTCTATAGGACTTAAAACTTAATTTTCTCAAGCTTCGCACACAGTAAACTACGTTCCTTTATTAGGAAGAAACATTTTAATGTGCAAGAACACTTTATTTGAAATTCAAATATATCTGGTGCCCTGTTAGGAAGATTTCTTTGTCAGCTCTATTTTTATCAATTAGTGATTTCTGAAAGTAATTCTCACTTTGTTTTGGGAGTTTCACTATTTTTTCCTCTGCTGCTTGATCTCTTTTTACCCCTGCTCCTGGATCGAGAGGAACTCCTGCTTCTGCTCCTGCTGCGTGTCCGACTGTGACTCCTGCTGCGACTGCGGCCTCTTCTCTTCCTGCCCCTGCTGTGAGATCTCCTCCTCTCACGGCTTCTGGACCTCTCCGACCGGCGCCGCCTCTTGTTTTTGCGGCGATTCTTTTTTCTCTCGGATTCTCCGTTTCTGCGGTAGGAATGGTCTGGGCTCGGGCTGCCCCTTCTCCTGGACCGGCTGTAATAGTCGTCACGATGGCTCGATCTGTTTCTCCTCTCAGAGTTTTTAGACAACTGATGAGTCCGTTCAGGAGAAATACGTATGTCTCTATTGGCCTCCCAAAACTCGTTGTTTGGATTTTTGAATACGTGAAGAAAATTGCAGTGTTTCCCTCTTGGACACTTCTGCCTCTCAAATAAGCCTGCAACAGATTAGGGTTTGCTTTTTTATGAAGCAGACCTATTAAATCTCTTTCTTCATTATGTACCAACTGGAAGAAACATAATAAACTGAATTTTGCTTCTCCAAACAGAAGAACATGCATCTGACCACCTATCAATTTAACTCACACAAGATTTATTTTCACTGTGTACTTTTCTTGCAATTAGCTTTTTAACTGCTATGAAGATTTGGTTTTAGCTTAGAACAAACTTAACTTCATTTAATTTCATTTAATTTTATTTACCTTAATGTAAGAAAGTAAATATAGATAAGTCACATGTTATATTTACTTCTCAGAACTGTTGACAGTCCAGAAACTGCTGCTGCCTCTCAAGAGATAAATTAGTACTTCCTGGAGTTTCACCTTGAGATTAATATTTCCAAGGCTAGAATCCAAACCTTTTTTTCTAGATCATGGTAAATCCACTAGAACAATTCAGCCACTTACATGACATGGTGAAATACTCCCTTTCTTTCCTGATCTACACAAGCAAGTTAGCACATTTGTCTTCCAAACAGCAATGAATACAACATTACGCAGATCTGAAAGCTACAGCCTAATCCTCTTTTTCACTTCCATGAGTGAGTACTCTTCAGTAACACATTCTCTTTTCCAAGACTCACCACATATGGCAGTTTTCCACCTCGTCACAGGACAGAATTCACAATGAAGCTGTCTGCCTGCATACCATCGTCCACTGAACAGAGCCAGAGCTGCCTGACAGTCCTTCTCCCTTTAAAAAGTAAAAATAACAGATGGCATTACCATCACATAATCATTTCAGACACCCCTTACCGATTTTGGGCTCCCACTACAGTATGAGAATGAACTGCATGGATGACACAAACACTTCTTATTCATTACTAAACTCTGCAGTTTAGTTCTAACACTTGGTAAGACTGTGAGTACTTACGACTGGTACTGGACGTACACGTTTCCTCGCAGGTGAGGCTCATAGTTGCAACTGACCTGAAGGGATGGAAACATGAAGTGAGGGCAGTGGAAGGTTTATGCTGTACAGCAGCTCACACATTCTGAGTTGGGCAATTCTCATTTATGACAGGTCATCCATATCAAATTAGAGATTATGTTTTTCTGAACACTTAGGGTTAACCAAAAAAGAAAAAAACAAACCAAACCAAACCCCCCAAAAAACCTTTCTAGCTTATGTTTAACTGTTTCCAGCATTATGCTTTGATTAACTCTGGGACTTTGGCTTCACTTAGTCCACAAGAAAGTTTACACTCCATTTTTTTGCATTTGTCTAGGCCAACCCTACTGTGCAACAGCCAAATCCTGCTCTGACAACAATTAGTAGTATCCTCAAGTGGAAATGAGGGATTCATTACATTAAGAGACTCTAGAGCAATGTATCTTCGCAGCATCCCTGTGAAATGGGTTCAAAAAGCTGAAGACACCATCTTTCACTGTACAGTTGTGAAAAATCTTTTTTTGGTAATGATTTAGCATTCAATGTATATCTAAAGCTCTCAAAAATACACAAATTACCTTTGAAAAAGCTTGCTGCTAGTTACAAAAGATTCTGAAACAGGCAGGTCCAAGCAGGTGGAACCCAGTTCTCCAGGGCAAACTGTGATTCCAGCCTCTGTTGCCCACAGGCCTCTTCCAATATCTGCAGCAAATGAGGTTAGTGGCTCCTTTCATCCCTGAACCATGACTGACCCTTAAGGAATACCTCTTTGTATGTTGGATCAACAAAGGGTTTCAGCCATAATAACAATCACTTGTCTAACTATTAGAGGAACAGAAGTCAAACTACTTGAGATAAACAGTGTCAATACAAGAACAAGTGAGAATGATTTTGCCATAGACATTTTTGGGTAGGAAAAGAACCCTAGAATGTTCTAGGGTAGTGTTTTATTAGTATCTTCCAGATTCTGAAGCAGCTTCCCAGAAAAAGCATCCAGAATAAAACCTTGGCCTACACTGGAAAAGGAGTCAGCTGAAAGAGGGGTGTGTAAAATCTGATTTGAAATGGTCACAGAGTCTCAGCTCACTCACAGTTAAGATCCCTGCAGCCAACATGTCATTCTGAAGCATCTCTAATGTAGCGAAAATGTGCATGAGAATCATCTTGCTGTTGCACAATTCCCTCAGAAGCCAAGGAATGCCATACAAACAATCACAGTGACCCAAGCAGGTGCAGCTTAGCACACCTGCACAAAACGATGGTACAAAGCCAAGGACCTGACTTTGCTGATAAGGCTTTTCAAGCCATGCTCCATAGGGAATCTGCATCCTGTCTTCTAGTAGAGGACAACTGGCTATTATTCCATGAGTCAAAATATGGAGGGGATGCTCCACTCCTCCAAACAAGTAAAGGTTTCTTACCTATAAAGTTCATTATACAATGAAAACTCACTCTTTCTACTTCCCTCTTTCTTGAAATGCTAATGCCATCTCAGTCCTGAGGCAGCTGTCAGTAGATGAACACAAAAGAAGAAAAGGCACTATGTGCCTCCTGGTGACTGCAGAAAAACACTCAGAAATGGCAAGCAGAAAGAGATGCTCTAATAGATTCTGATATGAGGAGATTGCACCATCCAAGCTGCATATTTTGGGGCAACATGAGACTGTTACACATCATTCATTTCTGAGGTCTCCATTTACAGATCCCTCTTTATCTCCATAACAAGTAAAAATATAAATGGGAAAAAAATCAGTACTAAACACCGAGCAAACTAAATGCACAAAGAATGGATGGCAAATCTCAAGACTGTTTATATAAACTTACCTTTTTTACCTAATTTTTCCTACTGAAATACCTGCTATATTTTCAGTTCATTGTAATCTGATTTTATTTTATTCAGCCAGTCCTAAAATGGCATTGTTTGGGTGTACACTGCAAATACATTTCATACCCCCACTATTTCATTCCTTAGGCCCAAATACAGTAGCTCAGATGTATTTATATTGTCTAACAGTCTTAATGGACCCTCTGGGGCTTAGCACAGGATAAGAAAAGAAAGGACTAAGAGATAAGTGGACTGTTGAGCAGTGTGAATAACTTGCAATATGGAAGCACAAGCTTTTGTAACACTTCAGGGGGAATGGGAGAGAAGATTCACCCAGAGTAAGATGGTGCTCTGTAACAACAGTGACAAGTTTACAGGTGACATGAGAAATGCAGTTTGCTGAAAGGACACTGCATAGTTCCCTAGTGCACACAGAATTTCTCTTAAGGCTCATAAAGTGCACTTAGATGCATACCTTGAATTGAACCACCTTCCCCACATTCTGAAATTCAGGGAGCACATCCTCATAGAACTCCAGGAACTGCTGGTAGGTCTCCTCGTCGCTGTACTCCAGACTGGCATCTGTGTCATAGTCGTCTCTCCGGCACTGCTCCATGCCAAAAGTGATGAACATCCCTCGCACGAGCAGTGTCTTGCTAGATGTGGGGTAGTTATGCTTGCGAGAACACCTGGACAGGTGTAGTAAAGAAAGGAAATTGGAAAGATTGGCACTTGCAGCACAAAATACACTTGTTGAAGCTTCAAACATTTGGCATTTTCAGTAACAGTTATAATAAAAGAAAATCCATTAGTGGAAGATCGAAAGATTTGGTTTAGTAATTGAAATATCTTGGAGTTAGTTTGTACATAACCTTAATGCTTCCTTAATGCCATTAACAAACATATTCTTGCTTAAGAAAGCAGAACTAGAAAAGCTATAGATAGCAGTGTCAAAATGAGAGCTGAAAGAATTTCTTTTAGGCTACTAGGGTTAATGTGTTCCAATTTTCTGAAGGGCTTAAAAGATTTCAGAAGTCTTTCTATAAAGAGATCTTAAAGCAAGGCCCTGCTCTTCTTTTTGCATAGAAGAACCCTCATCATATGAGGGTGGAAAGCAGGAATGAGGGAAGAACAGCACATTTAGACCCGCACCTAGATGAGTACAAGACTGGTATTTTTCCACTTCTAACAAAAAAATCCCAAACCAAACCAAACAAACAAACCCCCCCAAAACCGAAACAAATTAAAAAACCCAACAACAACAACAACAAAAGATTCTTCTAAATCAGTTGAATCGTAATCTGCATCTTCTTGGCAGCCATAAAAGTATTAGATGTCCCTCACCATCCATCATACTCAGGCTACCTTGCTAACATGCTGAAATAGAGTTCTCCCCTAGACACCTTTAGATCAGTAAGAACACAGATATTCTCCATCTTTATTTCACTGTGCTTTATGATTCCCATTCAATATGTCCCCAAGCAACTGGGTCATGCACTCTTCAACATATTTCTCCTTTTCAAATGACATGATGAGAAAAACAGCCAGACTAGTCTAGTCTCTATGTCACTGGACAGCACAGACGAACTGCAGGGAGGTCATGTCTCAAAGTGGACAATTACAACCCAGACCTCAGCTAAGAAGTTTCTCTGTACCCAGTAAGTCAGAAATGGACTCTCACCTTCTGGCTGACCCCTTAGACTTCAAAAAGCAAACAACAACAAAAAAGTCCATTTTCCAACTCCAAAACTAAACCACGAGACAATTAATTCGATGGTTATATTTTTTTACATTTTAGAAGCTGCTTCCTTTTGCTGTTCAATTTCAGTAACAGAATACAAAATATTAAACCCACCTAATATCATCTGTACACAAAATGATAGTCACATGACAGAGCAAAAGGAACCCCAAGGAAAATGAATGACCCAAGAATCCCATATTACTGCAAAATGTTAGGGTTTGAATTACCAGGGAAATTGGTAGTAGCAAACTCAGCCAGTTTTAGCTTCTTCAAGACCTAATGATCTTTGACAAGATTCAGCAGTTATTTGTTGGTAACACTGGTTGTTAGTTTTTCACAACTTCTTCCAATCCATCCTTCCAGTCCTACCCTAGCTGTACTAGTCCTTCTACTTAGACAGCACCAGATGTTGAAATGACCAGATTATGAAGGAAGCAGGTATGTGAGGAAAAAGAGAGATGAAAGAGAGGTAGCTGAGATCAACAGGGGTGAAAGAGGAAGGGCAGAATATGATGTTTCTCAGTATTTATTTTCCAAGGGTTATTCATAGTTCAAATGAAAAGTTCAAAGCAAAACTGAATTTTATGCAATCAATAAATAATCCATGGAGGTTATCTCCATTAAAGACCACTGAAACAAAAATACTGCAAAGATTACAAAGACTCAGACATTTGAAAAAAAAATGCTGTCTGCAGTGACATAGCTGGTGAAATTTTTATTATGGAATTCAACACGTATTTCAGAATAGAAAAAAAAAAAAAAAAAAAAAAAAAAAGATGTGAACTTGAAGCTTCCATATAGTTGAATTATAGTTGAATTTTCTTATAATTATCCACAGCATACATCACACCAGAACAAATTATTCCCAGGATAAAAAAAAACTACAATAGCTAGACCACACATTTCAGTGACACAAGTTAGTAAAATAACCTTCTAAGTTTTTGCTGAAGATGCATGTAATAAATATGAGTCCTTCCCTGCTAAGCTGTTGCTTCTCCTTAGCACAAAAAAAATCTGGAATTCTCAAGCCAGAAGGTGCATTTGGGTCATCATTGTTCGTGGTCACTAATGAACATAAACTCCTTTATACTTCTGGCTTCCTCTGCATCCTCTGGGAACAAGTTTGCCATTTGTTTCATATGACAAAGTCTTTTCTTTTTCAAAGCTGGTAAACATTCTGAGACACCTGACTAAAATGCAAATAATCACTGCCACCCTATTCCTAAGTTTGCTGCTCATCTACAACAGTCGTCTTCCATCCCCATCTTTGAAAGCAGAGTCTGGACTTGCAAGCCACTTCTGCAGAGGTGTTGCTCATGTCTTATCATCCTAATGAGCTTCTCTGCTCTTGCCTTTTACTACACTTCCCCCCTGAGATAGGGGCACCCTGTCAGTGTACCAGAATTACAACTGAATGTATCACACATTTAAATAGTGAGAACTCTGGAAGCTACCTGACAACTTTCCCAAGTGTGCAGATTTACCTTAATTTAATTTAGTTCATTTGGGATTTGAACATATGCAAATTAGAAAATATAAAAAAACTAGCATCTGACATACCAGATCTGTACTAATAGCAGACCATATACATTCTCTCACAATGTATCTGTGCATGAGTCTAAGCTAAGGAAAACTCAGTCTGACCAGTGTAACCAGAATGCACCATCCATAATATACTATAACAATAAATAGCTCAATTCCAGCCAGGCAATGCTCTGCTCTCAATCCACACCCAAATACACAGAAGTATTTTATGCAGCAATTTTTCCTCAGTTTGCTCATGACCTAATTAAGTTGTCTCTGTTTTATCTCCCCAACACACTTCTATCCTAGTAAATATTCAATGGATTACCTGTCTCCAAATCGGCAGGAACCTGTTTTAATATAAAATGGGCAATTTGCTCTATCCTTCTCTGTTCCCAGATTCTCTGGGGGCTCTGGATTATGCCAACTCACACCATTCTCCAGCTGTGGAAGAAACATTAAAATAGACAGAAGTTAGGAAACAGTAAAGAAACGGAGTGTCAAAAATAAAACTTAACAACTGAATTCACATGCAGTTATGAGCACTATGTTTCTACAAGGCAAGCTGAACCTATTCAAAGCATTGTTTTTCAAAGCTGCCCTGTGCCTTGGGTCTCATTTTATACACCTGTGCCTTGGTTTTAACCCCAGCTGGCAGCCAAGCCCCACAGAGCCACTTGCTCACAGCTCCATCAAGGGGGATCAGGGAGAGAATGGAAGGGTAAAAGATACAAAATTCATGCATTGAAATAAAAACAGTTGAAGAGGGAAAGTAAAAGCCAGCCACACAAACAAAGCAAAACCAGGAACTGGTTCACTGCTTTCCATGGGCAGGCAGGTGTTCAGGAGAGCAGGGCCCACCATGTGTAACAGTGACTTGAGAAGACCAACTCCATCACTCCAAATGTCCCCTCCCTTCCTTCTTCCCCCTACTTTATATACTGAACATGATCTCAGATCATCTGAAATATTCCTTTGGTCAGTGGGGGTCACAGCTGTGTCTCCTCCTGAAAAACCTCTGCCTCACACACCTTCTGCCTCTTCACCAGTGTGGCAGTAAGAGAAGCAGAAAAGGCCTTGGGTCTGTCTAGGTCCTGCTCAGCAATAACACATCTCCACATTTTCAACCCCATCCTAAGTGTAACTGCAAAATGAAGCCCCATACCAGCCGCCATGAAAAAAAATAACTACCCCAGCCAAAACCACTACAATCTGGAAGAGAGAAAGCTAGGACTATTTACTTATTTTTCTCTGAAACAGCCCAAAGCTCAGCAAGCTCATCATTATCACTGTTATGTACATCTAGAAAAGGCTAAAATAAAAATTAACCCGCCAAAGGCCAGAATTTTAAAAATTAAATTCATAGTTAGCACTGCAAGTAAAAGTGTCCATAGTGATCATCTTGGGTCATTAAGATTTCTGTAATTCAAAATGGCCTCACCAAGTTGCAAGCCTTGAATGACTACAACCAAGACACATATTTAAGAATGAATTTTCTTTCTAACCAAACAATCTGTAAAGCTGACAGGCCTAAGTTCTCATTTTAAATCAACTGAAAATTCTTTTTATTCACAAGCAGCATTTGACCCAGCTACCAATTCTGTTCATGACTTGCAGCCATGATATTTTATCACCAGAACAGCCCTGTTATGTCAGCAGTAACTGAACCCTGAACTGATACTCTAATGCAGTCTCTAACATACCACATTTCTGACTATTCCTCTGCAGACATGACTGCTAATGCATCTTGAGCTCTGGGCAGGCAGCAGTTCAAAGCAGTTTCCTACTCATTTTATGAAACAGATTTCCTACCTAAAGAACTGTTTAAACATGATCTGGAACCAAATGTAACTCCAGTGTAGCTATGGCATTCAATAAACAGTGGATAACTAGGTCAAAACTTATTTTTCAAATTCATGCAATGGTTTAAACAGCAAGTTTAATCATGTGACAGAGATAAAAAGCCAAATTATTCTTTAAGGCAGTCTCTAAGATCCAAATGAAAACTGCAGTTTTCTTTTCTACACACTGCCAGCTTGGGATCCATGCTCTTGCAGGCATCCAAGCAGTCAAGCTTCTCCCTCCCCCACCTTTTTTTCTTTCCCTTAAGGATCTGTGCCCTCCTCCACCACTGAATCCTCTTATTTAGAGCCTGACATCTGCTTAAAAAGACAAGTTTATCTTGCCACCCAGGACTGACAGATTTATTTAGAATTACAATTCACAAATAAACCACCATGCATAGTGTTTTTTAACAGCACACAGCAGTATTTCCAGGTTCATTTTGACTCAGGTCTCCTGAACAGTCATCAGCATGCACAACTGCACTGCCACCAACCAGCCAGAAATATGCTTAATTATGTTCCACCCAGTAAATAATTGTTTACAGCTCATGCAAGCCACTATATATTAAATTTATTCAGGCCATTAGGTTCTCGAGAGCAGATGGACAGCATGCTAGAAGGCAAACACCGGATGGAGATTAAATTACTTTTCAGTTCTTTTTTCAGAAAGTCTGAGCATACCTGGCTTTCAGCTTGATCCAGCATCCTCTGCACAGCTGCCTATAAATGGTGCAAACACAGGACTAGTGAAAACCCTGAGGACACACAAAACATCTGGTTTCTTTAGTTAAGAACCTAATTTACAATGCTCAGTGATTATGCATAATGAAAGTGTGATGGGGTTTGCTTTAAAAACAAGAGATTTACTTTGGCTCTGTAGCAATTCATGTACTACAAAGCTGTTAAAGGATACATCAGACAAGACCCTCACACAGATGATTTTCTAAATTATATGATAGACAACATAAAAGTTTAATTTTCTTTTTTAAAACTACCATTGGACTATTGATGCTTAAATCTATCTCCTGCTCAAGTACACAGCCTGGTTACAGGTAAGTCCATATTCATTTAGTTGCACGAAATGTTTTAACTTACACATTTTATGGAACACAGAGAAAAATGCAAGGCTTAGTGAGCCTCTGTTAAAGCAAGAGAAGTAATTGGTAAGAAACATCATAAGTTAGCCATATTTAGCCTTCCAAATACAGGAAAAAAATGAGGATATTTTTTCCCTTCCTTTTTCTAAGTGGGCTGAGCAAAACAATACCACTCTCCAAAACTAGCTGGACACTACTTCTAATAAATTGTTCTATGAAGTTCCTAGGAAAAAGACATTTAAAGATAATCAATACAAGAAAATATGCTAGGACTGGTTTAATTTGGAAGAGAAATAATTAAATTAAAAAGAACAAATAAAAATTTAAAAATGCAATTCAAGATGAGGTCCCAGACAGCATCTGGTACTGATCACCAAGAATGTCAGATATAACGAAAACAAAGAAAATAAAACAGAGCATACAAACAAAACTCACCGAAGCATACAAACAAAAAAACCACGAAGTCAAAACTACTTCTTCAACCTCTCCAAAAAAAGCCTCAAATCACTACCACCCATCAAAACAGAAAATCTATTTCTTCATTTTAGGGAGGGAAATTACTTTTTTCTTGTATCACTGTTAGAATTTGAATAAACTGCTGTTTCAAGACACAGGCAAAATCAATTAAACAACCTTCTGCTGCTAAAATGGGTGGCTCTGCTCCTAGGTGAGTAATCAGTTTCCCTCTGGGTGCCTGTCATTGCTCTGTATGAGCCAATTTAACTCAATATCCTCATAAATAATAGCCCAGAAGAATACAAAGCAAATAATCCAATAACTAAACAAAAAAGAAAGCTGCTTCCGTTCAGGGACACCAGTTATCCCACTGAGGACTTAGTCAAACCCAGACAGAAGGACAAAGGGGGGAATAAAATCTTGCTGTTGTCATGTTTCAACTCTATACAAACTGTATCTCAACCCTAAATAAAAGGCAGGAGCATTGTTTTCTCTCCCTACTCTGCAAAGAGAGAAATGGACACTTGAACACCAGAGGAAGTAAGACAGGAAATACAGTAACTGCTGTTCTTTGGCATCCCTCATTCAAGTGTTACATAATCAGTGGCACAACCAACTATTAACTGCAGAGCCAGAACTGTCTGCTCGTGGTTCTTCTCCTGCTGTGGCTATCAGACACAGCTGCAAGATACCTCCTAGTGAAACGACTGGAAACTTTGTGATTGTGGAGAATCTAAAATGACCAGATCCTAGAAAGCTTCAGTCGCTCTTCAGTGGCAGTAAGAGACCAGTCCTCACACTGGATTACTGTATAGGACATCTTACATCCAGGTCACTGAACCTCTAAAACTTAAGAAGAATGTATCATTAACAGAAATATTATCAATTACTTGTATCTACAATATCATTTTTTATTCCACCCAAGGAGCTCTGAAAAAAGATACGTCCTGTTGGATGAGTCAGGTAAAGAAAAGCAGCAAGACATCTTTTGATTAAGAACTGTGTTAAGGAACAGCAGCAAGGTACTTCCATATCCTCTTTAGGCATTTTCTTCAGCACTGACTGTGTTCAACTAGGACATTAAGGAAGGATTATCTTTAACATATGATGCAGAAAGTGAACTTATATTAACCTGTTTTGACACAGCACCTTCTTATTTACCTGATGTAAACAATTACATATTGCGAACAACCAGATGCATTAACAAGAGTTACATTTCAGTATACGGACCCCCTGGATGCTCTTTAACACGGAGTAATGGTTTAGGAACTTAGACAGAATGGCTTAAGTAATGCATTTGCTAATTATAACAAAATCCCTCTTCAATGTGTATAACTGTTGCAGCTGATCATGTCACAGGATACAGAACATGTATATCCTCCCACCACCAAGAATCACCTCTCTCTCTCTCTTCTCCTGTTGCTTCTGCTGTGCCACTTCTCTCTCTTTTCTTTGCTGCTCTTCCCATTCTTCTTTGATCTTCCTCTTTATAATAAAAAAATAAATTAAGGAACAGTGCTTTACAATCAAAGTCAACACTACTATGTTGCATTACAACTCCCTGACCATGAAATTTTCATCCAGTCAGAAGCAACTAAATCTCTGACAAAAACCCTTTTAGAAGTTTTCTTCTCTTTTCAATTTTGCTTTTCTATACAAAAGAGGGGAGAATCTATCAAACACATCAGCATCACAAAATAATAAAAGTTATTACACTAAGTCTACCTTGTTGCCAAGAACAACTGTAAGACTTTACATCTTTATACCTCTTCTTCTTCTTGACGCTTTCTTGCAGCCTCTTCTTTTTCTTTCTTTAGTTTGAACTCTTCTTGGGCCTTTTCTTCTCTCAGCAACCACTGCTCATGTAGTTTTTGTCTACCAAAGAAACCAGACACCATTTAGACCACCGACTTAAGGACTACCCATGACTGTCCTTAATGCAACTGTCATAAATACAATTCAAATTTATTACCACAGTAATAACTGCAACTTGTCTTATTTCAAAGAAAAAATTCCATAGGAATCACTCAGGCTTTAGACAAAAGGACTGTGTAGCCTAACATCTTCAACAGAGATTGTGTTTCACAGAATATATTCAAATTTTTCAAAGTATTAAAATGGAATTGATTACAAAAATGTTTATTGCATATATGCCATTTTCTATATTTCTCACCTTTCTGCCTCAAGTTTTTTTTCTTCCTCTTCTTCCTCCTCTTCCTCCACTTCTTCCTCTTCCTCCTCAGACACAGACTCATCTTTTTCTGCAGCTTCTGAGAAAAAAAACTCAATGCATCTACATAACTGCATGCTACAGCCAACACAGATATACAAAATGATGTCTTAAAAAAAAAGAACCCCCAATCACTTCTAGCTAGTTCCACTGCCAGTACCACATATTTCAGTTACCTGAGTCCCTTAGTTTGGCAAGTGCCTGCCGCTTTTTTTTCCTTTTCTCCTTCTTCAGAATAGCTCTGTACTTTTGATGGCTGAAGATGAGAGAACATTACTTATGTTAAAACTGCAAAAGAAATAACTTTTACTGTCAAACAGATAATAATTTACTGTAATGTAAATTATATATGCACCTAATTTCTTTCAGCAATACAAAATCCTACAAACTGCAAAATTAGCAGGCAATTATATGAAACAGTAACTCCAGAGCAGCATCTGATGTGATGATTAAATCTATAAATCTGTGGCTGTACTGTTCAGACTTGCTGGGCAGCAGCAAGAAGACACCATACACAGGGGTCTCATCTTTTTTGAGCTCTGCAGTATTCGACATCATCACCAACACCACGAAATCTCCTTCAGCTCCTGAAGCTTGATCACTAGATAAGATACAGGAGAAAAACTTGGGGATCTCCTACCCTACAATTTTGGTACACCTTTCAGCACATATTAGTCTTTCTTTTACAGGACATTAAATTTCAGGTCCTTTCTTTTCTCCTTTGATATTCTCCACAGGCAGCAGTCTCAATGCACAGCTAACAAATCACACTCACAGCCCCCACAGACAATGCTCAGCACTGCTCTTCTTCTACACAAGCTTGGCCAGACTCTTCCTTGCTTGTCTGACAGCTGGGAACAGCTGCCTACAAGCAGCACCATGTTTTCACTGTGGTTAAAATGCCTCTAATGTCTAAAAGCCTTTTCACATCAAGGTCTTTTCTGTCAAGTTTCATTCTACCTTTCTTCTTCCTAGCCAGGTCATAATGGAGAAATAGGAAGGAGGGATGATCTTCAGCTCTTGTCATTGTGCCACGCCAAATGCTGATGGGACAGCAAAACTTTCTCCTTTTCCCTTTGAGTGTGTAATTTTAAAAGATTCCACAAGTGTAACTCAGCCAGCCAGAACTTCACCCAGATCTCCAATTCTGTTCAGGATTGCTCACATCCTCACCACCTGCACACCTGTGTGTGCCAAGGTGACACCACAGTGCTTGTCCCGGCAGCAGTGCCTGCCCGCACAGACTGGTGTCTCCACCTGTCTGACCCGGCCAGCCTGGCCACTTCTCACCTCGAGTCCCTGCCTGAAATGGATGGCATCTCTCAGTAGGTGCCTGGGACTGACAAGCGAGAAGTTCCTTCCCAGTTCCCTGAGAACTTCTTTTTCTTAAAACCCAAGGAAGGAAGGGACGGAGGAGCTCCCTTTACTCCCAAGGCCAGCACACGAGGAGGTGGGCACACAGCTGACACGCAAGAAGCAGCGGCGCCCAAGCCGCTCCAGGGCTGGGGCTCGCCTCTCCCCCTAGCCGCCGACACCGGATCAAGGCCTTGGCAAGCACCTGGAGACCCCGACCGGGGAATCCCGTTGTGAGCATGGCTGCCCCGGCCCAAAGCCTCCGCGGCGGGGCTGGACAGGGCTCAGCCCGGGCACGCACATACCCATACCGCTGCCTCCCCAAGCCGCGGCCTTTGCTGCTCCTCACATCACCCAGAGCCGCCGCTGTCCCGCCCTGCCATAGCTCGGGCGGGCGGGCACGGCGGCCCCGCTCCCCCTGCCGCCGCCGGGCTCGCTCGCCGCCCCCAGCGCGGCCGCGCTCCCATCCCGCGAGCCACCGAGCCCAGTCCCCCCGTCCCGCCGGGCCACGGCCGCGCGGAGCTGCGCCACTGCCGGGCCCGGCCACGGGGCGGCCTCAGCCGCGGCCGTCGTACGCTCGGGCGGTCCCGGCCAGGACGGGACCGCGACTCTCTGCAGGGACCCGCGGGACCTTCCCCTTGCCCCGAGGGGTCCCGGCCCCGGCCTGGCCGCAGCCTCACCTCGGCTTCCCCAGGGGGGGCTCTGGCACCAATATGGGCGCCGCCATCTTGCGGTACCGACGGGACGTCACGTGACCCCGCGGCGGAAGGGCGCGCAATCGGTTCCGGCGGGCGCGCGCTGTGCCCGCGCCTGAGGGGCGGCGGGGTTCGTGCGGCCTGAGGGCACAGACAGGCAGCACCTGGGGAGCCAGATTCACCAAACTGTCCCAAAGACCACGGGCGAGGGAGTGCACAGAACGTTCCGTTGTCAAAGTATCACAGCACGGGTCAGGTTGGAAGGGACCACAGTGGATCATTGCTCCAACCTCCCTGCTCAAGCAGGGCCATCACGGGGCGCAGGGCTGTGTCCAGATGATTCCTGAATATCTCCAATGAGGGAGACTCCACACCCTCTCTGCGCAATCTGTTCCAGTGCTTGGTCACACACAGTAAAGAAGTTCTTGCTCATGTTCAGGTGGAATTTTCTGTGGATTAGTTTCTGCCCGTTGCCTCTTGTCCTATTGCTTGGCACCACCAAGACTGTGATCCACCGCTGGACCCATCCTCTGACACCCGTTTTTGATTATAGATGTTAATGAGGTCTCCTCTCAGTTGTCTCCTGAAGGCTGAACGGGCCCAATTCCCTCAGCCTTTCCTGACTGTGTAATGTCCTCAGCCCTGTTGGGTGCCTGTGCAGTGGTGTCTGAGCTTGCCTGGGGTGTTGCTGCACATGGCAGTACCTGAGTGACGCTCCAGGCTGCCCGCAGCCTGTGCTCTGTGTGTGAGCTGCCTTGGTTGTGTTGGGAATTGTGTGTGGGAGTGAGGTGTTCCGTGCCTGCCATGAGGTGAACTTTGAGAGTGTTCCTCGGCTGCTGGGAGCATGGCTGCCCTGCCCCACGGCCTCTCAGAGCTGAGGAGAGTCACAGTTCCACTGCAGCAGCAGCAGCAGCAGCACGCCAGTGTGGTACATTGATCAATTTAGCTCCCACTGCTGATGTATTTCCATCATTGTCTCTGAGGCATAGTACCTGACCTGAATAAACTATTCCACACAGACCCTCATGGGTATGATGGGTGGAAATATGCAAATTGTCAGTAATCAATTCCTCTGTGACAGAAGTGACAGATTGAAGCCTTCAGAGGCAGTGTGTTTGTAGCTTTCATTTGGGCATGTTTTGCATAGCTATTAATAATGTAAATTGTTGATTAAGGTCTAAATTATCCTCCTAAACCACAATGTAGGAGCTTATTTCCTGTATCCTGGAGGTGGTACACTGCAGAAACAGCCGGAGCTGCTGACGGTGAAGCATACCACAGCAGGCTCTGTCAAAATCTGACTAATTGACTGTGCTGTTCATTAGCAGCATAATGAGTATCCTCTTACTCTGAAGCTCAGTGAAGTTATTCAAAGCAAGCATGTGACTGCTATAGTCAGCAGTTACATTTGCCACTTGACCAATGAATATTCAGACCACGACCTCTCTGCTGTTACTTAACCTTGTGTCAGATCCTGGACTCTCTTAAAATGAAGGAGTTGTCATCAGTAGTACTTCCACTGTTCCTTGTGCAGAACATACATGTAAAATAACACATAATTTGCTGTTTCTTGTATACAGGAGATGGCAGTATTGTGCATTTAACAACCGATGAACTATTGACACCCATGAAAGTTTTGAAAAAAACAACCAAATATTTCATAATCTTATTTCATTAGGAAATTATAACTGTATCTTTAATCGTCCTATCAACAGAGGAAGTGCTGTAATATCAACCTTCCTTTAAACTATTTATCAGTCTAAATTGAGAAATTCTATCGTTTCTTTATTTGGTATGCTACATTAAATCATGGAATTTTTCCAGTGTTCTTGGGGAAGGCACCATCTTAAGCTTATACATTTCAGCAATTTAAAGTAGGATCTCATTTTAAGAAAACAAAAAAATGTAACAGCTATTACAGATATTCATAATGATTCTGGGAAAATCTGTTATTCTCTTCAAAACGAGAATACAATAGTTGCATTTTTCTCCATTTTGTTTATTTTTATTAATTTATACACATATAGCAGCTTGAACTTCAAGTCCAGGTGCAGACTTCCATACAATTTAATTGATAACGGTGTCAGAAAGAAAAAGATATGGTAATTCCAGGCAAGAGCCATTCACATATCCAAAGTAATACTGCAGTCCAGTCAGTAGCTTTTATTCCTTACACTGGAATTATAGACCACAGGGCTTCACAAGCATAGTTTATTTTTTTGGCAGCCTTCAGCTTGTGGAACTCACTCTTCCATTTTTCTAAAGAGAAATACTCCTTCATGGTCCAGTACCATGTGAACCCCATCACAAGAAGGTCAGTACTGGATGCACAGATTGTACTATACAGAAGAGCCCAGGACAGAGAAACTTTGATCTTACAACTTGTAGTTACCACGCAGTAACTACCATGCATGTTCCACGTTGCACTATAAATCTCTGTGTCTTTCAAGATGTATGCACAGAACTGTGCATGCACAGTAGAGCAGCTCTGTGTTGAAGTGCAGTGACTCTGTCTGGCACACATTTGAACTTCCTTTCCCTGTGGCTCTTCTGGTTTCCATTTCTTGTATTTTCTGCCGTTGTAGACTGACATAAGCAGATAAGAAAGGTTCACTCTTTTTGTATGCTCAAGCCCTCTGTGGAAAAAAGATACATTTGATAAACATACAGATTATGTAAAAGTTTTCCTCAATATAATATTTGCCATATATAATATGGCATATATATATTTGCTCCAGGAGAAGAGTGGTACCTTCCCTCATGGAATTGTACATCTCTTTTTTTTTTCTTTTTTTTTTTCCAGGTGATGCAAATGGAAATAAGTGAACACGAGGGAAATTGCAATCAAATCACTAGCTTGGATTTGTCGGACCTAGAGAATGTGCGCTAAGTAGGAGACATCCAGGAAGTGTGGGTTTGGGATGGGTCAGTTTTCATTGACACTTCTTGGCGTGTTGTTTGTATAATAAATGAGACGATGAAGTGGTGGCAGCAGCACCATCCTCCCACCCCCTCCATGCTGGAAGTCTCTGTTTGCTTGCTCTCAGTGCCAGCCCTGCTGCGGGTTGTCCTTGGTGCTTCCCGCTGCAAAGTGCCCTTTCCAAGGCAATATATGGGAATGCTGGCAAGTGCATCCTTCCCCCACCTGCATGACTGTCTTGAGAGCTAAATGATTTCTCAGCCACTGTGTGCTTCTGTGAACACTGATAAAAACTTCTGCACTGTTACAGTGATGACTGTGGTGGCAGTCCTGATTCAACACCCTGTTCCACCATGTCTTCTGGAAAAGACATGAAGTGTTTGTCATTTCCACTGCACCCAAGGAACTGCACAGCACTCTGCACAACTGCAATTTGGGTCTGTAGTTCACCAGGTACATTTCCATGAGTGACTAATGCTGACAGTCACACATTGACTCTTTCCTCGTAAGAGTTGGATACAACTATTTGAGACTAAAGATTAACTTCCTCAGAGTTTAAAACTGTTAATTTGTCAGATTTGAAAACTGAGGTTAAGTTTAGTCATAGCTGTTAATTAACTTATACAATAGCTATCAATATTTTACTTACCTGGGATTTTCCATTTCAAAGGCATTGAAAGGAGCAGAAAAAGTACATTGCTAATCACATGGAGAAGATGGAGGGGGTTGGTTTGTTTGTTTTACCAAGTCATATGCTTTCTTGAAATTTCAGTCCTCTCCTGATTTGTTTGGTAGTCCAAATTTTGATGTGTTTTTAAATATGTACGTACAGATTATATATGAACTTCTGTAGATCAAAAGCACTGAAAAAATTACATAGATACTCTTTTTTTCAACCAGACAGACAAATTCATTTGGTACAATAAGATAAATAATTCTTTGCACTAGTTCAGTGATATTTCTGGAATGCAGATTGTGCGTGAAATTCTTAATGGCTATGACCTGTAGCTCCAAAGTAGTTAGGAAAAACAAAAATATTATAAAACAGGAACTACTTAGAAATCTAACACCTCTCGAAGTAGTCAGTTAAAAACATACCTTGCATGATTGCAATTTATTCAAGCAAACTGGTGCCTGATTGATCAGTGGCAAACAAATGCAGACATGCTTAAACGGTGCTGTGTACCTGGCCAAAATGTGAGCAGAGAGGCTGGGCAGAAAGTTATCCATGCATGTAAATTTATTACAAAGATATGAAGTGACAGTTATCTAGCTAACATTTTAGATTATACAGATGTACTTCATTTGTGAACTGAAAAGTTGCAGTGCTTTTTAAGACAGTGTTTAAAAATACCAGTACTTTGAAGCAGTTCTCTTCCTGTTAATACCTGGTGTAGTCTTTCATGTCCACCTGGCTTATTTAGAAAACGTGCTGGCTTTGGAAAAAGATTTATAGATGTTAGCAATTGGTTGCTTATGTGCAGCACTCTGTGCATATACAGCTGGATGCACACGTGGGCCTTCAGCTGGATGCATTTGGCACACATCCACGCATCCATCCTTTGCTGTGCACGTATATAGCAACTGCATGATGCTCTCCCTGTGAGCTCTGAGCTGGGGTGCTTATCACACTGCTGCTTCTCCTGGCCTCTTCCTCTCTCTGCTGGAAAAAATCATTTGTCTTGCTTCTTGCCAGCAAGACAAATTGGGGAAAATCAGCCATCCTGGCTGGAATTCAGCAGCTCTGATCAGGGAATCCAGTCATGTCTTCTGAGTTTGTTTCTGCTGGGTGTCGTATGCCTTCATGGTACTTTGACACCAGCCCCGTGCAATTCTGAGGGGAAGAACTGATTTGTGGTGTTTTACAGCAGGGAGAAATGCTTATGCTGTGTATCACAGTCGGTTCCACTTGCCTTCTGGCAGCAGGGAAAGAGTGCTTGGCTTTTCTTCTCTCTTCCCAAGTTCTTCAGTGTTTCCCACAAAGGTGCTGAAAAGTTCATGTGTTCACTATTGAAGCAATGCGCATGAATTTATCATGAAACTGACTGCATTCACATTCTTTTAAGATTTTTTTTAAAGTTAAAAATGCTACAGAAACCTGATAGTCCTTCATACATCTGTACATTTTTCAGTGTGCTTCTTTTGATGTGCATATATAGTGTGTTAATTTGTCATTAGAAATGAATACATCACTTTTTTGTTTTCATAGGCAGATAATGTATCCAATAATTTTGTACCCAGACTGGGTTGCCTAGTGAGAGTAAAGAGATGCCTGGGAATCAGCTTGGTGAATGACTTTTAAAGATGGGCTAACAAGTCCTTTAACAGTGGCTTCGGAAAGTAGTTTCTATTACTGAAACAGTAAGTTCTGTGTTGCCCAAAAGTCCAAGTATCTAGTGCAGTAAATATTGGTTATTGTTTTTCATAAATTCAGCCCCACAGTTAAGTCAGATTTTCTCACTCTTCGTCATTTGTGTGAAGCTCTTTGGGTTTGCTGTCTCAAGACACACTTCTTGGAGCTAAAGGACCAACTGAAAGTAATTCTGAAGCGATCTCCAAGGTAGGAACTAACCATTAATCAGAATGGCTACAGGGGGAGTATAGCAACAGAATGAAATAAAGTAATCCTGTCTTGCTGCCTAGATTGCAGAGACTGTTCAAATACCTGCAATACATTTCAGTTCCTGAATTGTTTTTCCTCCACATTTATTTATTTGTCTTGGTAAACATTTGATTAATAGTGCAGAGTGCATTAAAATATTTCCACCTGTGTGTGTCCATGTATACACAGTGGGTCACGTCTACAAAACAAGAATATATTGCTTTTCAACATGCTTCCTACTAAATCCTTTATTGCACCTCTGCTTATCCTAGTTGCTACCATAACAAGCAACCTCTGTCAGGAAAAAAGTATTTCTCCCTACATGTAACAGTTCTTTTCACACAAAGCAATGCCTCAGATGTGAGATGTTTTTGTGTAGAACAAGGCATTTGCTCTGCTGGGCTTGAGCCAGGACACAGGAGTGGGGCTGGGGGGACATGGCACTGTGCCCATCAGGCTAGCCCTTCCAAAGTGCTGTAAGTTCAAAGGCAAGTGAGGGGCAATGCCTGAACCTTGGTTTTTGGGTTCAGATACTCTGTATTCATCATACATTTCTTTTGGTGGGGTGAAAAGGGTGCCCAGTCTTACTTTATCCTCAGGGACTCTCAGTGGGGCCAGACAGTTTGACATGGAAGACAGGTGGCAGCTTTCTTTGGGATCTAGCTGCAGCCGAGCTTCAGATTCGCCTGCTGTGTGTAACAGTTACCAGCTGCTCTGGTGTGACATCCCACAGACACCTCGTGTGTCTAACACTACACCTGGGAGAAAAATGACTGGCCTGGAACACTCTGTAAGATGTATTTTTCTAAAAAGGAAGAAGGAAAATTAAATACTTGTTGCAGCTTTTTTTTTGTTGTTTTTTTGGTACTACAGAGAAAGGTAGTAAATAACTAACAGAAGACAGTTGTTTCTACTGCCTGTTTTTAGCTAAAATAACGGGGGTTAATTATTAAACCTTTTACTTGGTTGCTCACTTGTGCTCCTGATGCTTTAATCCTGGGTCACACAAAGTTTAAGAGTGCTTTACAGGGGAGACTCACTTCTTTTTGCCTCAACCTTTCCATGCTGACGGGATGTTACGGACTTTGCTGCTTACACTCTCTGTAGTTGCCATTGCTCATGCTGAGCTCTGCAAGCCAGGTAAGATTTGGAGCTGATTTCCATCCTCCTTAAGGTAAAATAGCTATCAGTTTAGACTACAAAACTGCCAGCTTCTAAGATTTTTATTTTAAGGGATTGTCTTCAGTCTGAAGATTGAAACGCTGAGCATTCAGTTCTTTTATGGGTTTGCAAATTAATTCTGGAAGTTTGTCTCACTTAAAGAGGTCATGGTAAACCTCATTGAGGCTCTGTAGGGCTCTTTTTCGTGCGAGTAACTTCTGTTCTCCTAAGTGGGTGATTTCTTAAGACCCATTTAGAAACTGACATTTGTGAAATAAGTGATTTAAAATCCTATTTTGAGTGACTATCAATATATGTTTGCTTTTTTCTCTTTGTGTCAGATGCACAGAATGCTTTCAAAGTACGGATTAGTATCAAAACAGCTTTGGGAGATAATGCAGTAAGTAAAATATCTTCACATATTCTTCCTAATTCAATATCTGCCAAAATAGAAGTAATATATACTATAAAATTTCTGAATGCTATACAAGCAATTTGTTGTGCAGTTTTATTTGTAATAGTTTGCTCAAGTCGTGATCCAGGCATACATTTCTTGACATTTGACTAGCCTGCTCCTTAAAATGGCATCCTTTAGGAGAAATATAAAGCTTGCTTGTTCATAAAGATAATTTTCTATCAAAATTTTTTTTCCATTTGGAAAAGTTATAGGGATGTTATACCTTATGCATGAGAAGCGCTGCATAAATGTAAGTTTATATTTTGGGAAAAACACTTCTGCTCAAGAGTGTGAATTGTAAAGTCAAGCATGTCTAGGAAGAGATGCAGGAAAAGGTTTTTAGGTCTTTATGAAATGGGACTTTACATTAGGCTCTCAGACAAGCATTAACTATAGAGATCATTCAAGCATGTCTCATCAATTCCCTGGTAATGGAGGGCTTCAGATAGTGGCCTTCTCTGCCTCTGGTGCACAGGCTTGCTTCATGAGGACTGAAGGGCTTTGGCTTAATTCAGATCTTTGGGCTTAATGTAGAAGTACTGGTGTGAGCAACGAGAGTAAGAGACTGGGGCATTAGATGACATTAGATTAGAAGTCACTTTGTATTGCTAGAAAAAAAGCAGTAACTGGGAGCTGATTTTTTTTTTTTTGCAGTTGTTTATGTCATATAACAAAATGTGTGAAAACTCAAAGAATGGGACACTGCATAAGAGATTGGGACATTAGGTCAGGTCCTTCGTGATCTAAGGCACTATTTAATATGTCAAGAGCCCAGTATTTTGTTAGTACTTTTGAATACTTAGAGCAAATCTGCAGCATGTTAACAGGGCTCAGCAGATAATTAGGTACGAAACATCCTGGATGGTCATGTCCACTGTAAGTCTGCTGTCTGATGATGTTATGAGCCCTGGGAAACAAAAAGCAGTAGGTTACATGTTTTAAAAGACTGGTGGTACGAGAAACTCCCTGTGACAGTAGAAACTGTTCTAAAATTACCCTGAAAGATCAGGTAATTTAAACTAACGTTAGCAGGGACGTACCTTTCATTGGTAATTTCATAAACCAGACAAAGTACAAAGAAGTAGTCAAGATACCTGCTAAAGTGAATGTCTCGAAACTCATAGTGAAGTAAATTCTCTTGGGTGAGAGACTTTAATTAAACAGTAGTGTGAGCCTAGGTTTTTTTATTATTATTTAAAATAGTCTAATATTATGTCTGAACACATGTCAATATAATTATTAAAACTCCTCTTGATGATAACTGCTAATATTTTGATTTAATCTTTGTTCAGCATAGTAGCAGAGAACAAAAATTTCATTTCCTGGTAATGCTGTTTTTTACTGCCTTTCCTTTTCCTTTTCCAGCTGTAGTAAAATAATGGGAGGTTGTTTGAGCTCTTGTTTTTCTGTTTGTTTTTCATTCAAAAAGGGTATGAGAAAAATCATTACCCTTGAAGGCTCTTTGTGTTGCTAGGAAAAAAGCAATAACTGAGGAGTCAATTGTTTTTTTGTAGTAGTTTATGTCATGTAACAAAGTGTGTGAAAGCTCAAAGAATGGGACAATCAAGAACAGCATTTTAGGACAACACCTTGCTGAAATTGGTATAATGCCAATTTCAGAAAATCATCCACAAATGATAAACAATTTATTAAGTACACAAGTAGTAGTAGTTCCTTTTCACAGCCATTGCAGTCTTCTCTGTGAATGACTGAAAATGAAAACTGAAACTACAATGAAACTGAAATTCATTTCCGTTTAAGAATTTGGGGCACTTTACTTCTTTGGGTTATTTATTTATTTTAGCAAAGAAAAGTGTAATACTGTCATTGTGTCACAGTAGGACACGTCAGCTTGGTTCATTTCCAGGTCACTTCAAGCTCCATGATAACAGAAAGCCCTGATACTGTGGGAATTTTTCTCTGGGAGTGGCAGGATAACTCCAGTGTACCTTCAGGGGCATAGGAAATAGGTTGGTGCACCTTTTCACGTGGTGTAGTGCATATCATCCCCTGTGTGCGAGGCTGATGAAAACAGGATATAATTTTTTAATTTGTTTACCAGGTAAGCTGTATCTGAGGCATGGAGTTCCACTTAGTGTGTTTATTTAGTTCTTATCACAGTGGAGCTGCAAAGAGCAGCTCTGATGCAGTAGGTATTCAGCCGTTACCATTTTATTTGCAAATAATGGGTGTACTTGATAGAGATGTTTGCTAATCCATGGGAGGAAAAGCAGTGCCTGTAGGCCTAAATGGAAGGTGATTTATGAGTCTCTCTGAGGATGGTTTTGACTTTATGAGTGGCTTCTGGAATAGTAGCTAGTCGCTAGTTGCTTTCTATTCATGGGGCCAGTAGAGGGATAGAGAGTTAATTCAAAAGGGACAGAGGCAACTAGAGAGCGAGAAGTGACGGGCACTGTGTAACAGCTGTCACCACTCATTTTAACCATACAAGTCAAAGAATTGGCACCTCAGGGGCTGCAGCTAGCTGAAGTAGACAGTGCACTTCCCCTCTGGCTCATGTATCAAGGCTGCTTCCAGGGTAGAGGACGAAGAGGAGGAAGGCTGACATACACCTTATGTTTTGTCACCAGATCCAGAAGTGTGTTTTTGTGTCTGTAGCTACTCTGCAGTCTGAATGTCTGTATGGTTAAGTACAGAACCATTCAGGAGGGAAGAGATATGGGATGGTCTCTAGTCCTCTCCTGCTCAAAGCCAGGTCAACACTGAAATCAGGTCAGGCTGCTCAGAGCAACCTTGTAATATTCTCATATCTTAAATTTTGTCTTTTACAGCACTCTTACAACATTTCACCCCATCAGCAACCTGAAGATGAAGATGGTAAATTTAACAGTTCTGATACCATCATGTTGTGTTTAGTTGATAACAGTTACGTTTACAGCATGTGGTTGCAAATTATATTTAAACGTGGCTGCAAATGATATTTAATGTTACCCCTAGAGTAGCAGAAAGTGTGCATCAATAGCTGCACTGCATAGAGACATCCTCAGTCATCAGCTGTGCTCCAGCTGATGCCTTTGGAGGATGAAGATGAAGCTGATAAAGCCCCATACTAGAACGAATCAGGTCTAGTGGAAGGTGTCCCTGCCCATGGCAGGGGAATTGGAACTAGATGATCTTTAGAGTCCCATTCAATCTAAATCATTCAAGGTTTCTTTGCACCTCTAATTAGAGAAAGCTGCTGATTAGAAACCGTTTTCTGGAAATTCATGCCCACCTGTCCTGAGTTCATACAGCTTGGTAGTTTAAAGTTGTTCTCGCCTTACTTTTCCTCCTCATTATGTTGCTTCCCCTTGTATATTCCTGTATGCAGTCATGTACAGAGGTTCTTGTTTACCTGGAGCCCACAGCCATCTCCATCTCCTTTACTTCCTGTTTAGTCTTCATTTTGTTGGGGCTTCTTGCTCTGCTGCCCAGAAGGTTGTCTGCAGTATCTTCTCCTGACTCAGGAGACACCTGATTTCTGCTGAGCTTTCTCTGCCAGTCTCCTCCCCCTCTTTCTCACAGTTTTCTGTTTCTTCTGTCACTTTTCAAGTGCCTACTCTTTCAGCTGGGCCTGGAATTCCTCAGAACAAATTATCTTCCCTGATTTGAGATACCCTTTTATTACTCTGACTTAAAGACGTGCTAGGCTACTGCATTATTTATGAGAGCTGTGACAAATCTTGCATGTATATATGCATTGCACTAAACGTAAACATACTGAGTACATGTACTTGGTAGTCCTGCATTGTATTTGTGTCCATGTGAGCATGAAATGGAGTGTTCTTCACCATTATCCATTTTCAACACAACTGATTAAATTATCTCTAGAGCTGGTTTAATCCACTGGTTGAAAATTTATATTTTTTCTGTCCTTTTGGACCTGTTCTCAAAGACTGCAGATGGCATGTAGTGATTCAGTCAACAGTGCCACACATAGAAAAAAGAGATCTTCCCTTTTAGTACTGCAAATTGTACTTCATGGTTTAAATACAGATATCTTTAAAAATGATGAAAAATAGTTCTATGGCTCTGATCTGTATTAATTCCTTTACTACACGATCTCTTTTTCTTTCAGTACTAGTTGCTCTCATTGCTGTCACGTTTTCATCAGTGCAGTGGGATCAAAACACAGGCTTTTATAAATTTTTTTCTAGAGTTTCTGAGTTTCTTTCTGGGTTTTTTTTTTCTTTTCAGCTTAAGTTCCCAGGTTGGAAGGCATTATCACAGTATGTTCACACCCCCCCTTCATTCACAAGGCAAGAGTGGTGAGTCAGAAGCCAGGTTCTCAGCAGTGCAGATGCACTTTAATGCTGCTCAAGTTGTCTGCTGCCTCAGCTTTGTTGTCCCCGTCCTACCTCATCTCAGAGAGCCCATTTCACTCAACATTCTTCTAGGGATGATAAACAAGATCACTTTCTGCCCTTTAAATGTCTGAATCCTTCCCTGTTCAGTTTCCCAGGATGCCTGTACAACAGGAGGGCTGCAGATACCTAAAAGTTGGATTATCTTTTTTTTTTCTTTTTTTTTGTGGAGAGGTTGCATCTCCATGCACCCAAAATCAGAATTTAAAAACCAGAATTAAGATTTTAAATTTTCAATACTATTTACCCCTTTTTGATGTACATTGCTGTTTTTTGAATGTGTTATAAAGGACCATGAAAAAGTAGGTCTAAGTTGACAGCTGAGTGAAGTGTCCACACCATTGGGTTTCTGATTTGGATGATTAAGCAGGTTTTTTTAATGCTTAAAGTTAAAGATTAGATTTGTGTTCTGACTGACTGAAGAAAGCTGTTCCTAACCTCACTGCTTATAATTCCAAGAAACTAATAATCTTTGTAATCTGCTGAAAGGGGAAGAAATTCAATCAGTATGCCTCAGTCATGGTTCCTGTTATAAAAATGTAATAGATGCAGTTCTTACAGGTCATTAGAATTGCATATGTGAATGAAAGCCCAGGGGAAGCCAGTGAAGCTGTCTCAGAAAACTTAAATTATGAAAGCATGATTTTCCATCAAGACAACAGAGAACAGTTTTTGGAGCCTACATTCTTCTTCTTATTGAAGTAGTAAAGATGCTATTTTCTTTCTTTTATCTCACATGCAATATAATAATTTGTAGTATAGTTGAGTCTTCTTGTAATCAGGACAGTGTGCAACAATAAGGCTACAGTCTCAGTTTATTTCCTGGTGTCCTAATGTCCAACTCCAGAGACCACCTTAAACATTAGGAGTTTTTTTATTATTATTTTTGGTCAGAGCCAAATAGTCTTTGAGGGTGGATTTAAACTTTCTACTTTAAGTGAATTTCTCCAGCAAAAGAGGCAAGGCCATGAGTGCAGGTGTGTGGGGAGAATTCTAGTAATATGCCTAGTCTTTGGTATAATAAACTTTACCTCTCCAGTTTGGTCAGCTTTCAGAAATATTCCCTTAATTCGATTTTTGGAAACATTCTTTGCAGTTTATATTATTTATATTGCAGTTTATAGTGCACTTTTTTTTTTTCATTAAAAAAAGACCTTTGTTCATACTAAATAATGGACATTTGTTTTCTTAGCACAACCAGAGAATTTCTTCATTTTCTTGATCAATACAGCATTTCAAGTTCAGCAGCTCTTTTTCCTCTCTGTACTGCCAGCACTGGTGCTGAAACTAATTATTTTCCATCTTCCTTTACAGTATGCCTGGGATGCTAATGAGGAATACCTCTTCAAAGCAATGGTGGCTTTTGCAATGAGAAGATATTCCAGCAAGAGCACAACTCAGTAAGCATCTGCTTGGATTTGCCTTATACATATTAACAATGCTGCATTTAGTGACCTGTCCTCTGCTGTACCAAGCTGTAGAAATCATTATGTAGAGATTCTAAAAGCAGGCTGTTCCAGTGTACTTCTGACACCCAGATACATATTCAACATCACACTGTCTCCATCTTAAGCAATGTTCAGTCTTTGAACCAGTATCCCTGTGGATGTGAAGTGACACAGCTGTGGATCTCAGTGGGATGGTGCCAGTTCACTTTGAGCAGAATGCAGCAGGAAGATTTGACACCTGCAGACCATACTGGGAGGAGGTGAAGGGACACACTGGGAGGTCAGGAAAGGCAGCACAGATCTTTGAGTAAGCAGCTCTGGTGCTTGCTTCATCAGAGCTCAGCTTCAGCAGTGTGCTGAAGATGAGCTGACTCAGAGCCCTGGGAGGTGGAGAGCTGTGCCAGTGCTCTGCTGGGTGTTCCTATCCCTGATATCACAGCAGTTGAGTTACCTACCATCAAGAAGTTTCAGATGTTGCAGTGCAGATAGAAATCAGCCTTTAATTGGTTTTGGGATTAAGTCTACCCTGAGGTATTGAATATTCTTTTTAGGCTACTGATCCTTGCTACTCTATGAAATCAGATACCAGATTAGACAGAGCACTTAGCAAGTGTATTTTCACGTCTTTCTTAAATGAAAATCCTTGTAAGTGCATTTCCATAGGCCTATTCTTTTTTCCATTGTTTTTCAACCTGAAGTGAAAGATTGATGGTTCTGGTAGGCTAACAAGGATAAGGTTTTCAATTTACTTAAAAATAAAACTGCTTCAGGCTGTCATTGCATCAGGTGAAGCATATTCCACATTTGAAAAGATATTAGTTAACTTTAGTCACGTGATGATTATTGTGGCTGCTTGTACTTCTTGTAAGTAAAAGGGGATTTCCCGCTCCATGTGACAGGAGTGTTTGATTCCTGCTGTTTCATTTTTATTCCTCAGAAGTGGTCTCCTGTGAGAAAAAGAGCTGTTACATCAAGCTTTACAAAAACAGCCAAGTGTGCTACTCAACCCAATTAAAATGGCACTTTAAAAAATGAGTTCAAGATACAAGCTAATTACAGATGATTATGTAGGACTTTTTCTCAGGTTTTCAAGACAGCAGAGTTTTCATTCAGCATCTGCTCCATAAAGATTCAGTTTTGTATACTTATTTTAGTTCTGAGTCCTTTTTTAAAATTACTGTTCTCTTCCTTCAAAGTCATACTGCCTTCACACAGCAAAAACCCTGTGTCAGAAGCAAATGATCTTTTTCCTCTTCAAGCTCTTTGGTTTTCTGCAGATTAAAATAAGGTTGCTGCAGGAATGGGAAAAAATCAAGCCACTATGGAACGAGTATAAATTTTAATGGTAGTTATCTGTTCCCACTCCAGGCAGTCATAAAATTTATACTCATTAATTCAGTTTCCTATCTAGAGAGTTTTCCCTATGGACAAATATGATGATGCCAGTGTTACTCCAGTTTGGAGGTGGTGATGCACACATCAATAACTCCCTGCTACTCAGTTGGTCAGAGAAGTCAGTATAATATTTGGAATCAGACAGCTGTGGGCATCTTTACCTCTTTTTAAGATGGTAACAGACTTCCTCATGGAGTATAACTTGGGTACACCCCTCATGGGGTGTATGTTGGACGTATAAGTCATGTAGGACTTAGAGACACCTTTGGGGTCATTATAGACAGCATGTCACCTGAATGAGAGCTGTGCAGCTCTGAGATCTGGCACAACTTCGTAGGCAACAGGCTGAGGAGTTTACTATGCACAGATCTCTCTCAAATCCCAAAGGACCTCACAGTCCCTGTTTAGTGATGGAGAAGCTAGATGAACCTCCCAATATACCTCAAATAATCTGCTTGTTACATGGGAGCAGGAAGGCTGTAAAAGCCTCCTTGCTGTTAGATGTCCTGGAAATTACCCACTCCTTTCCCCACCCTCGTGGCTGGCAGCTAGAAGGAAGGAGTGCAGTCCTGCTCCATCCCCTCTGCAGCAGGCATGGAGGAGCCAGCATCCCAAAGGGAACAGCAGCATGCTGTACACAGGAACAGCACCCTGGCAAAGCTGGTGAAGAGACTTCACTGTGGTGAAGAGGGAGGCACAAGCAGGAGCTTGTAGCAAATAAATTACATCACAATGCTAGCAAGTAAATTGCATTTCACTACATGAGCTTTTGCAGGAAAATGTCACAGATTTTCTTCAGGACATATGAAAGACCAATGACCAATTATTCTGTCATATAAGAACAGACAAATTGCCCGTGACTGCATTCTGGTAGTATCTAAACTTACGGAAATTTTGCATCTGATTAATTGCAGTTTTTTGTCAAAATAAAACCTATGAAAAAAATAACTATTGTTTTACATAACTAAATACTGGTTCACCAGGGTATAAATTAGGCACGTGGCCATAGCCAGGATGTGACAAACCTCCCCGTTAAAATCCCATTAATTGCTAACACACCCACAGCCTTGAAGTAACTCACAGCCACAACTAACTTCCACATGAGACACAAATGCCATTAATTTCAGCAAGCTATATCAGGCCCCAAAATAATTTGTCTGGTGCATCAGGATAACCATTGTTGCAGTCTGCCCCATCATTTTTGATATTCAGAGTCACCTCTTGTTAGGTTTCTGAAGCTGGATAAAAGCCAGCCTGTGATGACAAGCATTTCAATTGTGCTGCTGCAAACAGCAGTTGATGCTGTTGTTGCCCTTGTGTCACCACTGAGTGACCCAGCATAGAATGGAGAGGATTGCACTTACATCTCGAGTTCTCTAAAGTTAATTTCCAAACTGCAATTTAATAAATCATGGAACAGCGTTTAATGTTTGAAAGGCTTGTCAAATTTTCAAGTTTGCACAAAACAAAAGAAATGTACAATCAATCAAATTACTCAGTAACTATTAATATAGATACAAATAAATACTTCTTTTTCAGTGGAGAATTAACACCCCATTATTTCCTGCTTTATATATGACCTTTCAATTGATTCTCAATACATATGGTCATGAACCACATAAGCCAACCTTTGATCTCTCAGTGTTAAAAAATTATTATTGTATCCTGTATTAGTAACCCTGGTTTCTCTAATCTGTGACTCATTTGAAATAATATACATCTCTTTTGGGCCTGAGACTAGTTAATCTTTAGAGCAGAAAGAATGTCAACACATTTGTTTTCATTCAAATAACCGAATATATTTTTGGTACATCTTCCCCCATTTATAGAGAAAAAAAGCTGAAATTTTCCTTATGAAGTGACCAGAAAAAAATTCATCAACATTATCCATCTTCCTAAGACAGGCTATTTTGATACTAAAAATATTGTGACCATCTAGAACAACAAAATAAGAGTCTGCAGTAAAGCTGTTAAATCAAGGTGAACCCATGGCTATGGGGAAGAAAATTACGTTCCTTTGCAGGAGCAGCTGCAGAGCCTGGTGTTGAAAGAGCTGTGATGCTTTTGGGAGAGCTGGAGATAGGCACCTGGGAACTGGGGACTGTGGTTCTTTCATGAGCTATGAGCCATTGTGGGCAGTCAGCTCCTCTCTGACAGCTCTTTCTTACCCCTAAACAATCATTTAAATCTTCATAAGGAGCAATGATGGTGTTTCAGGCCAAGGAATTGCCAGGGTTTCCTGCACTCTAGTCACCAGTGTATTAAAGGAAATGCAATTTTGGACTTTTGCCATGGTGCCATAAGGCCGAACCAGCATCTTGTCATTTTGGTGATAATGGTCTCCTATAATCCCATGTCAAAAGTCTATCAGCTGCTAAGGAAAGGAAAAAATGTCCACATATATATTTACCCTTACACTTTGTTAGTGCCTGGAGAAGCCAGGTTTCTCAGGTCTATACAGTGTGATGGCATAGTTGCAATGATTCTCTGTGATGTGACTCAAACCTGCAAGCAAATAGCATAGGAGAAAAAAAGTGTGCCACTGCACAGAAATTGCCACATTGGTGCTTGTTGAACCAGTCTGTTTTGGTGTTTACTCATCTCCTTTGAATTTCTCATGAGTGGGATTATTCTCTTTGGGGCCTGGAAGGGTTTATGGCATTTGCATTCCACTGATGAAAAAGTGCTGGTGGTGAAACCAGAGTTTGAATGCTTTTAATTGAGAAGGATTTTAGAAACAATAGGGACAAGAAGCAAAGCCAAATTTACATGTCCTAATGCAATCCTTGCTGCCCCTTGTTTCAGTGCTAGTTGTTCTACAGAGAGATGTTACCCCCATGGTGACTGCCTTATCTCATGCTAAAAACCTTGGCACTTTAGGGAAGACTCTAGCTTGAAGAGTCTTTGAATGAGGGTATGAAAGTCAGGTGTTCTCGCAGTCCTTATCTGCCTTTATCTTTCTCTTTGGGGACCAATCTTTCTTACTCCATTTCAAGAACATCTGTAGGGCAAGACCAACTCAGATTTTCCACCTGGCCCAGTTTTTTGATTGAATCATTGAAACTGCAGCTTTAGGAACTTTGGCAACATGAAGTTTTGGGTCCTACTGTTATAAACACCCAGATAGAAAACTTCCTCTGCAGTTACAATTTTAGATATTCTGTGAAGTCAGCAAGAGTTTGTCAGCCACCAGCCAAAAGTAGGCATTTTTATCCCTCTCCTGTAAATTCTGTGCTTTCTTTTTGTTTTGCAAAGAATAAATCTGCTTTCATCTTCTGACTGTTGCCAAAAAAACTGATGTGAATATCTTTTCAAATTCCAGAGGATGACGTTCCTCTTTTATTCATAAAAATTCTCTTCAAAAAAGATTTCTCTGTAAAATTGATACTGTTCTAGGGAGGTAAAAGTGGTCATTTTGGCTCTGCAAAATCATTGCTTTCCATTTTATTGCATATGTCTCTGGAATGGGTGCTTATAGCCCAGAAACCCAATTGTATCCTGGGCTGCATCCAAAGCAGTGTGGCCAGCAGGGCAAGAGAGGGGATTCTCTCCCTCTGCTCTGCTCTGCTGTGGTGAGACCCCTCCTGGAGTGCTGCATCCAGCTCTAGGGTGCCCAGCACAGGAAGGACATGAGCCTGTTGGAGTGAGCTCCAAAGAGCCAAAATGAAATCAGCTCAGTTGACTCTAGTGGAAGGTTCACTGCCCATGGCATGAGGGTTGGAACAAATTTCTAAGTAAAAAAATCTCTCAAAAGTCCTTTTCAGCCGAAGCCATTCTATGATTCTAGAGATAGATAGATAGATAGATAGATAGATAGATAGATAGATAGATAGATAGACTTTTGTAAAATTATCTATTGCACTACCCAGGGCACCCAAAACATCACTCAAAAAAAAATTTTCATCGGGAAATAAAGCATTTCTATAAAATATCCATAATGAAGCACTGTGATCTGCCTTACAATCAGATCTCTGGCTGGATGCAGAATGCTCAGGCACAGGTGTTCTCTCTCTCCCTCCTGTCCCTCTCACCCTCCATCCCACCAGTCCCAGAAATCCCACTAAACCCACCAGTCCCCCCAGTTCCCCCAGTTCCATCAGTCCCCCTAGTCCCACTACTCCCACCAGTCCCACCAATCCCACCTGCCCCTCCAGTCCCACCAATCCCACTACTCCCACCAGTTCCCCCATTCCCACTAATCCAACCAGTCCAACCAGTCCCACCGGTCCCCACAATCCCCCTAGTCTCACCAATCCCACCAGTTCCCCCAGTCCAACCAGTCCCACCAGTCTCCACAATCCCCCTAGTCTCACCAGTCTCACCAGTCCCCCGAGTCCCCCCAATCCCCCCAATCCTCCATTCCCCCCAGTCCCCCCAGTTCCCTAAATTCTCCCAGTCCCCC